CTGGGGCATACCCAGTAATGGAATTGCTGGGTCAAACAGTAGTTCTGTTTTAGATTCTTTGAGAAATATCCACACTGCTTTCCACAGTGGCTGAGTAATTTACAACCCCACCAACAGTATATAGATGCTTATTAGGATTAAATGGAATTCCCTTCCTTGAGTGTCCTTTTTTTTTGAGACAGAGTCTCTCACTCTGTCACCCAGGCTGGAATGCAGTGGCCTGATCTTAGCTCACTGCAACCTCTGCTTCCCAGGTTCAAGTGATTCTCCTGCCTTAGCCTCCTGAGTAGCTGGGATTATTGGCACCCGCCACCACATCCAGCTAATTTTTGTATTTTTGGTAAAGACACGGTTTCATCATGTTGGTCAGGCTGGTCTCAAACTCCTAACCTCAGGTGATCCACCTGCCTCAGCCTCCCAAAGTGCTGGTATTACAGGCATGAGCGACCACGCGCACGGACACTGAGTATCTTTTAAAATTAAACAGATACAAGTATAAACAGACAGATATGGGTAAAGACATGGCTTCAACTAGAGGCTCTCAAACCTGTCTGTACGTTAGTCATCTTGGAAACTTTAAGAAACAGAAGGGTCCCATGTCCAAGACCCTCTTTTAATTGCTCTGGGCTGTAGGTGGGATGTGGGTATTTTTTAACTCCCCTCGAGTGATTCTAATGTGATGCCTGGTTTGAGGAGCATGAGATTAGATGACCTCTGCAGGAACTTTCGGGATCCCTCTCACTTGCCCTTCACCTGCCCAGTTACTCCCACGGTAGCCAGGGACAGTTAGCAGGACCTGAGGAAACATCCTCTCATGAAACATTTAAGTAGGTATTGTACTTGCAGACTTGCTAACAGTATCTTGTAGCCTAGGGCTAAGAATGCACACCTGGTGTGCAGCAGGCACATTAACTTCTGCAATAAGGAATCGTGCCATCACTATACTAACTTTTAAAACAGAAGTCGTTGGCCGGGTAGGGTGGCTCACGCTGTAATCCCAGCACTTCAGGAGGCCAAGGTGGGCAGATCACTTACATGGAGAAACCCCATCTCTACTAAAAATACAAAATTAGCTGGGAATGGTGGCAGTTGCCTGTAATCCCAGCTACTCAGGAGGCTGAGGCAGGAGAATTGCTTGAACCTGGGAGGCGCAGGTTGCAGTAGGCCGAGATCATGCCACTGCACTCCAGCCTTGGCAACAAGAACAAGACTTCATCTCAAAAACAAAACAAAACAAAAACCAGAAGTCATGAAAAGATTTTACCAAAGGCTCAATACCCATTTCTTAAGCACTTTGACACATTATAACAGTTTGCAGAGGCAGAAGATTTGTCCTGATTTGAACAGAATAGAGTTAGAAAACAAACAAAAAAAAAAAGTGAAATTGAAAAGGAAGGTTAGAAGGGAAAGGTTTCACTTCCATAATTACATCGTGGTCTGAGGTTTGCATTATAGTTCACTTGGTGCTAAGAATGTTAATGAGTAATATCCCAGGCACTGAAAGTGTGGATGTATATGCATATTTACATATGCATATTAACATATAGGTAAACTATATATTATATAATGTTTTTATTTATGTGATTGTATACAAAGCCCTTCAAATATAAATAGATAAGACTTTGATCAGAACACAAAGTCCACACTTGACACATTGCATCATGAATGGATAGAAGAACTCTAACGTAGACTCTTACCTGCCATGAAACCCAGGGATAGTCATCCCTTCGGAGCCTTAATCTCCTCATCTTTAATATCGGGGCACTATTACCCAAATTTTAGGGTTTTATGAGACTTCAGTGTGGGAGCCCACACATAGTACTTGCTCAATAAACATGTTGAATCTAAATGTAGCCACCCACCTTACTGGTTCCTGAGCACAACAGAAGGGGTACCTGAAGCCTGCAAGGAAAATCAATTGCCCCAAGTCACACAGTGATCATGTACGTGGACTCAGGTTTCCTGACTGCTACTTTCATCCCACTTTCTTCCCTTGGGGGTCCTCCTCTCCAAAGCTGACTATGCCCTGCCTCCTTCCAGGATGTGCCAATAGCTCCTGCTCTAATATGAAGACCCTAAGTCCAAGACCTTCTGCCAAGAACACACAAGTGAAGCCACAAGCACCTGGCAGTGCCCAACCCAATGTGACACCCATCCCAGGAACACCTGGACTTCCAGGGACCCTGATCCCCTCCATCCATTTTACTTTATTGCTGAATTGTGGCCCACAGATGCCAAGGATAGGGCCAAAACACTTTTTAAATATTTTCCCTTAATATTACCATAGGCTTAATTACGTACGAACTACTATCTTATACATGCTTCCCTGGAAGCAGATCCTGAGATGAGTATTCACATGCAAGTGGTTCATTAAGAAAGTATTTCCAGGAGAAACTGGGAAGGGAGATGAGAAGCAACACAGGAAAGGGGAAGAAGCTAAGAGTGTGATTGCAGGCAAGTTCTGTCCTCAGCCTGAGCTCAAGGGACACTGAGGAGTGCAAATTACACCTCCGAGTTTGTCCAACCTGAGGCAGGGGAGCTGCTGTTTCGTGCTCCTGCCCCAATTGGTCATCGGGTCCAACATCCCAAGGGCTATGCTATACAGAAAGTGGCAGGTGCACGTTCTTAGAAGGAATGCACATGGGTGTTTGGGGATGAGCACAGGAAGGCAGGAAAATCTGGGCAGAACCCCAACAACATCCTCCATAACCACCAACTCCACAGAACTCAACACTCCTTGTGCTAGCTCAGATCTAGGCCCATTTGATTTCCCCAATATCTCAAAATCCAAAAAGCGAAAAGCCAGTATCCATAGCCTGAGTACATCCTACAGAAACCATCATCCTATGCACTGGAATTGGCTAATGATGGGATTTAACAAAATTTAACAGAACAAGCTCCTCTTGTAGGTTGCCCTCTCTTCACGGACACTTGTTACAGCTCAGTTTGAAAATTCAACAGATACTGTGGTAGGCTCAAGAGACACAAACATGATCAAGGGAGAGGACCCCAACCCTAGAGGAGCTGACAGTGGTGTGTAATCTCTCAAATTGAGATTTTTGTCTGATTTTTCACTGAATCCTAAAGAATATTCCATTCTCAATAATAGATGCTTCTCCCTTCAACTTTATAGGATCAGCAACAATGCTTTTCAAAACATCACACCATACTGTTACAAAGAAATATTATCTCACAAGGAATTAACAAAAAGCTAAATAAAACCACAAGAAAGTAAAACAGTATTTCAAATGATAACGGTAATGACAGTCATCATGTGTGGGAGACATATAGTCATCAAATTCCTGAATATCTAAGTTACTGGATTAATCCAATGGCCTCCAAATAGAAACCCCAACATCTATTACAATCCAGGTATTACCACAAAATTTAACTGGTAATTTAAGAGACCTTAAAAGATATGCCAGAGTTATTAGTTCAAATTCACTATGTAAGTATATTTAGTTTTAACACACTTTATATGAGATAAGACTCCAAAGTAATGAGATGTTCCTTGGAAAAGGAATGTATTAACATCGGAGCTAACGCCCAGTCAGAACTTTCAGACTTGAGAAAGCGATGCAACAGTACTACCCAAAGCCACACACACTCTCTCTTATAGAAAGCCTTTTAAAGAAGTAACGAGACTACGTGGAGAATGCTACCAACACACAAGACACTGGGCCAAGCATTTTACAGAACTCCTTTAACCTTCACAGTAATTCTATCCATGGGAGAGACCCCATTATAACCCCACCTTACGGAGGAGAAATCCAGGGCTTACAGAGATTAAAAACTTGCCCAAGACCACAGAATTATTCAGAGTAGGAAAAAACTCATACTTAAGTCTGTCAGTGCAAAATGCATACTTTTAACATCACATTGTGGTGGCAACGATTCAAAACCTGCTAACCTGCAATTGAACCATGAGAGTCCAGGAACCTTTATGGCCTTATCCATGTCACACCAGGATCACACTTTCCAAGGCTCTGTCTCTACAACTATGGTTTTAGATTAAGATCATTTTTCTTCACTATCCTTTTTACACCATTTTCTAAAACAAGCCAAAAGAAAAACTGTAGGTATTCATTATGTTATTAGAAATCAGACAACATTTTAGTTATACAGATTACTTCAATATCACCCTGTATTCTCTAGGCTACCTAGCCCCTCTAGATGTCTTTAGCATTTTCCTTCACATATGGCTAATTCCTTTTATGATTTTCTCTTTAGAAATCACATTCTTCACAGTATTCAAATGATTGAAAATCACTGCCTGATGTGACTGACTGCCAGATTTAAGTACATCATTAAAATTCACTTTGCCACATATTATCATTAGCAAAGAAAGGTGGGGGGACAGAGAAAAACAGAGTAAGAAATGATGGAAAGAAGTTTTAAAATTACCTCTGCTAAGTTTTCTGGAGGTGTCTTTGCTGTCATTTGTTTATAAACACATGCATTTTTAAAGCATTTCTGATTCTAATATTGTTCTGACAAATAATATTTCTTCATTGATGGATGAATATAAAAGCAATAAAAAATCTGTACTATGATAGATAGCCCCTCTAAATTCCACTATCAAGTGAATGCAAATTTATTATCACTATCATTTAACATAGTAATGTGTGAGAAGTCTCTCTAGCAATATTCCCCAGAAATTACCAAATTAAATAATTCACACTCATGAAACATCTACCACATACAAAATCCCATATGCACCAATTCTAAATAGTACTGGATCTAGAAATGGAAAGTGACAATGATGTGTCTGAGTTCCACAAAAGGCACTGCAAAGGAATGTCAAAGTTGAGTGGGTAGCACAAGCATTTGCTGAACATAAAAGATAACCATGAAGATAAAATAGAATTAAACTTCAATTTTTAATAAATTAAAGGGGGAAAATTATCATATATCTAATTAAAAAAGAAAGCCACCAATTGTCAAGGCTCGTTTCAGGGTCCTAGAAATTTTCAGAATAACCCAAAGAATGTATTTCTTACTTGCTGTCGATGAGCACTTCAGACTGCCGATTATTCACTTGATTATCACTCTTGTGGCGAAACTGAAAAATCAAAGTATTTGTGAGAAAACACATTACAAGGTACTTTGTCAGCCCATAAGCACACTGGCAATACTTTGAGTTCATACATTTTAACAATGTTGTCATTGGTCTAAGATGACACTGTTTGGGCATACTGTGAACCTAGCTCTACATGTTCTAAATCTAAATCAAAACCCTTCTCACTACTTTTCACTCTGGATGTCACCAATGAAACAAGGCTAGCCGCATGGTCTTCCAATCTCCACATATATTTAGTTGCTTCTAAGCAGACAGTATGCTCTCTCTTGTGCCTTATAGTCCCAGAGAAAACCATGTATTAATCTTGACGTCTTTAACAAGGAATGGGGGCTTCCATTTCTCTCCCATATGTACTCAATGCTTTATTAGAACATCATTCTTTCTGTTTTATGGATTTCTTTGAAGTCAAGACGTTACTTGTAACAACATGAATTTTTATTCTCCAGGAATTCTAATTGTTAACAGTGATCTTATTAAGTACTGACCATTTAAAACAAAAATTAGAAAGCAATACTGAAACACATTTGGTGGAGATTTGTGATTTATGTCCAAATGGTTGTATTTCTTATTGTATACTCCAGTAATGTAAGCATCTCATATAGCTTGAAGAATCTCAATATTGGGAGCTCTCTACTAGGCTCATAAATTAGCAGTCATTCAGGTAAGTCTTTCTATGTGCAATGTCAAGATCAGATAGTAGCAGTAAGCTAAAATAGAAACAAAGGTAAAGTAGAGAAAATGGTAATGCCATTAATAATAGGCTATATTAGTTATTTCAGCAAATTAGCCTACATGCACAGATAAACAGGAGTAGTCTGTTGAAGAGATATGAATCTTCTATTGCATAAACTTTAATCATCAGAATGCTTTCTTTTCTTCTTAAATTCAAACTGTTGTGTCAAAATCATGATATATAAAATGCTTCAACCAGCTCTTTTCCTTTTCCTACAGCCTTCCCAAACCCATCCCAATCTTTCTATTATGCTATACCCAGTACATACAATTGCTCAGAATGGCAGGTGTAAGTTAATAGATATTACCAGTAAAAATAAGAAAACAAAGATATTTAGCATTTGTTAGCATTTTACAACTATTTAACATACTGTAAAAATAGTTTATAATATTGGTAGAGGAGTAAATTAAGTCACATCACCCATTGACATGCAAACTTCTTCCTACAAGTAGAACAATAAAAATAGAAGCATTATTTGATTTGAGTGCATGATTTGGAGGGGTTGCTGAATATTCTCTCCTCCACCATATCTACATGGCGTTACTCTCCACTCTGCCCTGTGCCATGAAAAGCTGGGCTCTGTGGTCCTTGCCTTTTGACTTCTGGTAAGATCTGGGCAACAGATAGTACTGGCAGAAGATTCAAGGGTCAGAGAAGAGTGAAATAAGGAAACGTATCCCCTGGCTTTCTTCTAGCTGGGTTAGCAATGGCTACTTCCACAGATAGCCCCACCTGCTGCAAAGAGGCCTCAACTACATCTCCAAGGCTGTTCACTGCTTCCTTCCTTTGCCTCTTCAGGCCTAGTAGTACTGCCACCCATGTTGCTGCCATAGCTGCTTTTCCTTGCCTGCACCCTTTGTAAATAATCCCTTCATTATTAAACTCTCCAATCCACCTAATTTCAGGGTGACCTCTGTTTTTTGCCAAGACCCTGACTGGTGGAGATGTCCAGTTAATGGACTGGCACATAACATCACAAAAAATGAAAGCACATTCAGGCATTAACTGCAATGGAATCAAAAGACTTTTGGTTTAGTCACATAAATCCCCTAAATTGAGTATCTGAACATCACAGAAAAAAACCAGTCAGCTCATCCCCAAAAAGCTGAGCAGCTCACTCTCTAGGAGATGCAACCACTTCTACTTCTGCTCAGGTTTTACCAAGAGGACTTGGTATTGGATAGATGGAGTCTGGAAGGATTAGAAATGGTAGTTTCAGGCCCAGGCTGACACTTCTGGACAACTTCTTCTCTAGAAATAAATATGAGGATGTAGAGGGGAACTTCCACAGGACAGAAAGGGAGTAGAGGGCTAGCATCCATTGTGTACTCCCTGTGAGCTAGATTCTCAACCTGATGCTTTATACATATTATCTCATTCTATCTTCCCAATATTGCTGGTGCCATTGGCCATGTTATACAGAAAAGGAAAGGTTCAAGAAGTTAAGTCAAGAGATGATCCAAGATGGCCGCATAGGAACAGCTCTAGAGTGCAGTTCCCACTGAGAACAATGCAGAGAGTGAGTGATCACTGCATTTCCAAACAAGTTTTTACTGCCCACAGACCAGGAGATTCCCAGGCTGAAAAGCACCACCAGTCTCCAGCACAGCTGTTTCAGCTGGCGCAGCGGGTCTCCGCACAAAAACTCACACAAACCTGGACAGCTGTTTCAACTGGCGTCTGGAACAACTGGGAGACAGAGTTGCCCGTTCAACTCAAAAAAGGGGGCTGAAACAGGGAGCCAGATGATCTGGCTCAGGAGGTCCCAACCCCACAAAGACCAGCAATCTGAAGCGTTCTGGATTGAGAATTTCACAGCAGGCACAGCTGGACACGAGATGGTCCAGCTCTATGGGGGGAAGGGTGTCTGCCATTACCAAGGCAGTTCCACCATTACAGGGGCAGTCTGCCATTACACAGACAGTCCGCCATTACTGAGGCAGACCGCTATTACTGAGGCAGTTCTAACTATACCTCTGTAAACAAAACTGCAAGGAAATTCATACAGCAGCTGAGCAGAACCCACAGCAGCTCAGCAATGCCTCTGCTGGCAGACTGTGACTAGGCTACCTCCTCATTGGGCAGGGCATTTCTGAAAAAAGGCAGCAGCATGTTGGGAACTTAAAAATAAAGCCCCACCTTCCCAGGACAGAGCACCTGGGAAAAAAGAGTTTCACTGCAGCACTCTTAAACGTACCTGCCCAGCAGCTATGAACAGAACAATGGAGCTCACAGCTCAGCACTCAAGCTCCTATAAGGGACAGACTGTCTCCTCAAGCAGCTCTCCGACCCCGGTATATCCAAAGAGACACCTCATAAAGGAGAGCTCAGGCTGACACCTGGCAGGTACCCTTCTGAGACGAAGATAACAGAAGAAGAAACTGGCAGCAACCCTTGCTGTTCTGCAGCCGCCGCAGGTGATCCCCAGGCAAGCAGGGTCTGGAGTGGACCTCCAACAGTCCTACAGCAGAGGGGCCTATTAGAAGGAAAACTAAAAAAAGAGAAAGAAATAACTTCATCATAACAAAAAAGATGTCTACTCAGAGACCCCATCCCAAAGTCACCAACTACAAAGACCACAGGTAGATAAATCTACAAAGACGGGAAGAAACCAGCACAAAAAGGATGAAAACACCCAAAACCAAAACACCTTTCCTCCTCCAAGGGATCACAACTCCTCACCAGCAAGGGAATAAGGCTGGATGGAGAATGAGTCTGATGAATTCACAGAAACAGGCTTCAGAAAGTGGATAATAACAAATTTATCTGAGCTAAAAGAACATGTTCTAGCCCAATGCAAAGAAACTAAGCATGTTGAAAAAAAGGTTTAACAAAACACTAAGGAGAATAAACAACTTAGAGAAGAATACAAATGAAATGATGAAGCTGAAAAACACAACACAAGAATGTCACAACGCATACACAAGTTTCAATAGCAGAATCAACCAAGCAGAAGGATATCAGAGATTGAAGATCAACTCAATGAAATAAAACAAGATGGCAAGATTAGAGAAAAAAGAGTGAAAAGAAATGAATAAAGCCTACAAGAAATATGGGATTATGTGAAAAGACCTAATCTATGTTTGGTTTGTGTACCTGAATGCGACAGAGAGAATGAATCAAAGCTGGAAAACATTCTTCAGGAAATTATCCAGGAGAACTTCCCCAACCTAGCAAGGCAGGCCAATATTCAAGTCCAGGAAATACCAAAAATACCACAAATACAGAAAAATGCCACAAGAAGAGTAACCCAAGGCACATTGCCAGATTCACCAGGGTTGAAATGAAGGTAAAAATGCTAAGGACAGCCAGAGAGAAAATCAGGTTACCCACAAAGGGAAGCCCATCAGACTCACAGTGGATCTCCCAGAAGAAACCCTACAAGCCAGAAGAGAGTAGGGGCCAATATTCAACATCCTTAAAGAAAAGAACTTTCAACCTAGAATTTCATATCCAGCCAAACTAAGCTTCATAAGCAAAGGAGGAATAAAATCCTTTACGAACTAGCAATTGCTCAGAGATTTCATCACCACCAGGCCTGCCTTACAAGAGCTCCTGAAAGAAGCACTAAACATAGAAAGGAACAACCAGTACCAGCCACTCCAAAAACGTACCAAATGGTAAAAAGCATCAACACAATGAAGAAACTGAGTGAACTAATGGGCAAAACAACCAGCTAGCATCAAAATGACAAGATAAAATTCACACATAACAATATAAATCTTAAATGTAAATGGGCTAAATGCACCAATCAAAAGACACAGACTGGCAAATTGGATAAAAAGTCAAAAGCCATCAGAGTGCTGTACCTAGGAAACCCATCTCACGTGCAAGGATACACATAGGCTCAAAATAAAGGGATGAAAGAAGATTTACCAAGCAAATGGAGAGCAAAAAAAAGAAGGAATTGCAGTCCTAGTCTCTGATAAAATAGACTTTAAACCAAAAAAGATCAAAAGAGACAAAGAAGGGCATCACATAATGGTTAAAGGAGCAATGCAACCAGAATAGCTAATGATCCTAAATATATACACACCCAATACAGGAGCACTCAGATACATAAACAAGTTCTTAATGACCTACAAAGAGACTTAGACTCCCACACAATAATATGGGAGACTTTAATACTCCACTGTCAATATTTAGACAGACCAACAAGACAGAAAATGAACAAGGATATCCAGGACTTGAACTCAGATCTAGACCAAGCAAACTTAATAGACATTTAGAGAACTCTCTACCCCAAATCCACAGAATATACGTTCTTCACAGCACCACATCACACCTACTTTAAAACTGACCACATAATTGGAAGTAAATCACTTCTCAGCAAATGTAAAAGAATGGAAATCATAACAAACAGTCTCTCAGACCACAGTGCAATCAAATTAGAACTCAGGATTAAGAAACTAACTCGGAACCACACAACTTCATGGAAACTGAACGACTGGATCTTGAATGTAGACTGGATAAACAATGAAATGAAGGCAGAAATAAAGATGTTCTTCAAAATCAAAGAGAATGAAGACACAACGTGCCAGAATCTCTGGGACACATTTAAAGCGTGTCTAGAGGAAAATTTATTGCAATAAATGCCCACATGAGAAGCAAGGAAACCTCTAAAATCGACATCCTATCATCAACATCCTTTGAAATTTACGTGACATCAATCACCTAAAATTGAAAGAGCTAGAGGAGCATGATAAAAAAAACTCAAAAGCTAGCAGAAAATAAGAAATAACTAAAATCAGAGCAGAACTGAAGGAGATAGAGACACAAAAAAACCTTCAGAAAATTAATAAATCCAGGAGCTGTTTTTTTGAAAATATCAACAAAATAGACCATTAGCCAGATTAACGAAAAGAGAGAAGAAGCAAATAGATGCAATAAAAAATGATAAAGGGGATGTCACCACAGAGTCCACAGAAATACAAACCACCATCAGATATTACTACAAACAACTCTGTGCACATAAACCAGTAAATCTGGAAGAAATGGATAAATTCCTGGACACTTGCACCCTCCCAAGCCTAAAACAGGAAGAAGTTGAAACCCTCAATAGGCCAATAACAAGGGCTGAAGTTGAGACAGCAATTAATAGCTTACCAACCAAAAAAAGCCCAGGTCCACATGGGTTCATAGCTGAATTCTACCAGACCTGCAAAGAGGAGCTGGTATCACTCCTTCTGAAAACTATTCCAAACAAACCAAAAAGAGGGAATCCTTCCCATATTATTTTATGAGATCAACAGCGTCCTGATACCAAAACCTGGCAGAGACTCAACAAGAAAAGAAAACTTCAGGCCAATATCCATGATGAACACAGATGCAAAAATCTTCAATAAAATACTGGCAAACTGACTGCCAACAGTACATCAAAAAGCGAATCCACCAATATCAAGTAGGATTCATCCTGGGATGCAAGGCTGGTTCAACATATGCAAGTCTATAAACATAATCCACCACATAAACAGAACCAAAGACAAAAACCACATGATTATCTCAATTGATGCAGAGAAGGCCTTTGATAAAATTCAACAGTCCTTTATTCTAAAAACTCTCAATAAACTAGGTATCGACAGAACGTATCTCAAAATAATAAAAGCTATTTACAACAAACCCACAGGCAATATCATACTGAATTGGCAACAGTAGACTGTTAGTAAAGTTTTGAGGGAGACAAAACTTACACATGAATTTTTGACTGTACAGGGAGTTGGTTCCCCTAACCCCCACATCATTCAAGGGTCAAATATATTTGACTTTGTAACTCCTAATATAATGACAAGAATGTGTGAGAATACCTAATGTTTACCAATTCTCAAACTTAAAGACATACATTAAAGAATAAGTAACACTCCACTGAGTGAATGCAGGTTGAGTTCTAATTCTGCTCTTCCACAAATTGGTTGTATTTTCATTAGTAAATCACTAGCTCTTTCTGGGCTTTAGTTTTCGCATCTATAAAAGGAGAAAGTGAATCTAGTTATTAAAGCCTTCTTGCTTTTAAATAGGCTCTGGTTCTATGGCACCTGTATTAATCATCAAACAAATAGCTGTAGAGTTTTATATGACATTGACCAAAATAACTTCATTCAAAATTTCAAATATGTCTCCATTTTCTATTTCTGAAAAGCCACAACTGAAATTGAAACCTCAAGAATGCTCAACAGCAAATACTCACAAAGTCATCTGTGGCATCTTTGACAGCTGTCATAGTTATCACCAGGACCAAAGGCACAATGGTGGTAAACCAGGTCAAGGAGGAGATTTCTGGAATTAGCTAAAACAAACATTCCAAATAGTTTAGGACTTTTAAAGTTAAAAAATATACCTTCCAAATTTTGTCATTTAATTTTATAAAACTTAGCAGAAATTAATGGGATTATATGGACTTATTTGTACAAATGAAGAATGACTTTCAACAATTTAAGTGTTTGTATTTGGTTATGACACATAGAGTAGGAGTATTATTGAACTCATTTTCAAACTACCTAACCAAAAATTGAAGTTTTTATAGCAAGGGGAGAAGCTTCTTGAAATCTTTTACAGATGATCACCTTCTCTAATATGTTAAATGTCAACCATCTTTCTCAGCTTTTCATCTCAACTTTTAACAATTTTATCAACTCCTCTTTTTACCAATTCCCAAAGAGAGATTATTTGAACATCTGCCTAGCACCAGACACTGTGCCAGGTACTTTCCATTTATTACATCATTTAATCCTCAGAAAAGTTCATTGAGTTAGATTCTTACTAGCATTGTTTTTGTATGATCCCAGAAGGTTTGTATTCCATGTAAATAGTACTGTACCCCCAGTACACAACACAGAATACTACATTATAAATGGTGTCCAGGAGTCAGGAAATTTTGCAGACCTGGGTATCATGTCCCCATTTTATAAATGAAGTATCTAAGAGGTCATGTAACTGAGCCAGGATCACACTCTGCTAAAATTTGAAACTGGGTCTCTTAGACTTCAAGGACTATTCCATTGTGCCTATACCTCCAAAGCCACCCACATAAGAGAGCCATGGTGACAGTGGACATAAATGTCTTAGGTGGTTTTTAAACGGGATTCATTTTGGAGGTGCTTCACAGCCATCAAGCAGGAAAGGATGGAGTAGAGATGGTCAGTGGCTAAAGATCAGGCCCCATCAAAACAACTCTAAATCGATTTCATATAGCAGCTTTCACATAAGATTTTTATTAAAAAATTCAAAACCCTCTGATGTAGCAATAAAAATAATGACTTTGGTGTCAGAAAAAGCTAGATTGTAGTCCTAGCTCATCATCAACTCATGGTGAAAGCTTTACCACCTAACCTCTCTGGATCTAATTTCTTCATCAATAAAGAAAGGAGGTTAGACTGAACTATCCCCAAGTTCCCTTCTAAATATAAAATTCTATGAACAAGAGCCTTTGGCCACAAATAAGAAACCCATTAGAAAAATGAATTCAAAATTCTGGAATGATGTGAAGTGTTACTTGAAGAAACCAAAAACAATTTTATGGGGAGAGATGTGGGCAGAAATCTTAGATTCTAAGCTTTCTTCAATAAATAGTGAGGTATTTATTCATTATTTTTGTTTTCCTGATCAATATCCAGTTCTTCTCAAATATCCTCCTATTTCTTACGGAACTATCATATCCCCTGACTTTCAGGCCACATAATTTTAGGAAACTTAGTCCGTCCTGGATCCAGGGTTTGGCATATGATCTTGGTTAAGCCAATTACTGGATCAAACTCTTCAGCCACAGTGACAGGTTTAGGAATGAAGATATAACTCCAGTCAGAACTAATCCCAAGGCTTTTGCTAGAGAAACAGAAAAAGTCATTCATTCATTCATATTTCACATCCCCCCCCCACCCTCAGCTGAGTTGGAACTATGATGTTGTCAGTGCCACCAAGTAAAGAGGGCCTACCAGAGAGGCCAATGTGTTTTTAAAAAAACAAACAAACAAAACAGAGAAAGAGAAGCCACATCCTGATGAAATTGTTATTGCTCATGGATCCAATAATACTTGAGATACACATGAATGTCTTTTGCTTAAACTAATTTAGATTTCTGCCACTTAAAACATAAAGATTCTTAATACAAATAGATATTCAATTAAAGAAAAAACAGTACCCAAATCTATTAATCTAATCCACCTTCTTACATCTTAGCACATTCTCGACCTACCAGTTTGATCTGGTTAAAGTACTCTAACATAAACACTAGGTAAATAACTGGCTAACATGAACTATTTATGTATGTATACAGTATGTATGTGTACAGTATGTATGATTTATATCTTTTTCCTTCCCAACGTATCCATAAAAGCTAAAATTTCATTTAAGGCCAGATTTTAGTCAGATGGGAGAAAAAGCAAATGTTATTAATTACCAATTAACCATTCAAAACTGTAAAAGTAGTCACCCTACAGTGAAATAACACATAGCATCATCACTTACTTTATATATATTAAAAATGTGTCACTGTTTATAAATGAAAATGCAATTTGCCAAATTAAGCTCTGCAACCTACTCAGTCTTAGTCAGCAAAGACTCTTTGCCTCAGCTCTGGCAATCCCCACACTGTAGATGTGAGAGGGAGATAAAGAAAGGAGGGAAGCTATGAGCAGTAATTATTAGGCTCTGGTTTGGTTCAAATAAAGTGCAAGGCTGTGTTTTAAAATGACCTCAGTGTTTAAAATGATAAATGTACTACTTTTTACCCATTCCTACCTCTCCCACATTTGTGAAGAGAAACAGTAACAAGACTAAAAATCTGATAAAGGATGATTTTACCTAATCAGGAACATTTAGCTAAGTAAATTAAGTAAACTACTTTTAAAAATTATATGAATACTTTCAACAAACAGATAATAAAGAAATACAACCTAAATATTACCTGTAAAATCAGAAGGCAAAGAAAATAAGCATTTGCCACTCTTTGGAACTGTTCAAATAAATTAATTGGCAAGAAGGTGAGAATACTGTATTTCGACGTATGGATACGATTATCCTGAAAAAGAAATAGCATCGTGTTAGTTTGGGGCAAGGCATTGCTCATTATCAGAAACAGCTCTAAAACCAAAAAGCCTGAGCCAAAGTAGGAAAGATAAGCTGGTTATCTAGGAAATTTCAACTCTGTGTGGCTCAAGGCCTTCATTTTTCCCAAGATGACATGCTCCTGATAACAGATGAAACTACAGGTCTATGTCATAAAATCACCTGTGACTAAAAAATTTATCAAAAGTTCACCCCTGAGATTTTTGACTCGGGCATCCAACTATTTGGCAGTCATTGCTTGAGTACCTACAGTATACAGTAGGTACTGAGTTCATATTGGGGCCCACAAGGCAGGAGGGAACTTCAGAAATCATCTGGTCCACCTTCCCAATGCATGACTCATTTAGATAACTCTGTCAAGGGGCTCCTAGGTCTGTCTTGGAAAGTCTCCTGTGATGGGAAACTGATAGCCTCGCAAGGCAGCCTGTCCCCATTTCAGAATGGGAACTGCTAGAATGGCCCTTATTATAAGAAACCCAAATCTGCCTCCCTATAACTTTTTTTAAATTTTAATAACTATTTCTTTCTACTTTTATTTTAGATTCAGGGGCATATGTGCAGGATTATCACGTGAGAGAACTACATGTCACTGAGGTTTGTGTATGAAGGATCCTGTTACCGGGTAAAGAGCATATTAGAGTGAGTGAAGAGCTAGACATGAACAGGCGGGGGAGCTCCTGGGAAAGGAAACCTCTGGGAAGCTCACACCTGACAGGGACCACTCAAAATTTCCATATTAAAGCTATCTCTAACGCTTGTGTAGGCGGGTACTCAGTCATATGAGGATAGGAAAGAGGAGGTAGCTACACAGAAAGAAATATCCCGGCACGCCTCTTAAGACACCCCAATAATCACGCACTCTACAGTTAAAATGTCAGAATGTTGTTAGCTACATGCTAATAAGAAGGACAAAAGGGGCCAGGCGTGGTGGCCCATGCCTATAGTTCCAGCATTTTGGGAGACCGAGGCAGGTGGATCACCTGAGGTCAGGAGTTTGAAACCAGCCTCGCCAACATGGTGAAACCCCCTCTCTACTAAAAATACAAAAATTAGCCAGGTGTGGTGGTGCATGCCTATAATACTAGCTACTTGGGAGGCTGAGGCAGGAGAATCGTTTGAACTCAGGAGGTGGTCCCAGTGAGCCGGGATTGCACCACTGCACTCCAGCCAGGGCGAAGAGCAAGACTCCTAAAAAAAAAAAGGGAAAAAGACCACTGGCCAAAGGGGACATTCCCAAGAGAAACCTGGCACCACAAGTACAGATTAGGACAGGCAAGGAAATTCCAAAGAGATATATGCAGGCCCAATAGGTATAGATTTGGCCTCTGGACAACCTTCCTGGGGTGGCAGCAATGAGCAAGGACACCATCAGACAGAATTTGTATTGATCACCAGCCCACACATGCACATTAACCCACAGTAAAGGAGGGTCCCACAAGCCTAGACGAAGAGTTAAGGCAGGAGCGGGAAAAACTAGACAAAGCAGAAAGATGGAGACTTGAGACAGGGGCAGTAATTTGCAGAAAAGTCCAATTAACATGATAAAGCTCCCTGTGCAGAACCTTTGGAACTGTTTTCCCACAGGATCATCCCACTCCTCCTTTGGGGTATACCTATTTTTCCTACAATAAGCTCTTTACACTATATTTTTTTCAATAAAATTTTTTGCTATCTTTGTACTGTCTTTTGGTTGAAATCTTTCTTCCAAGTTAGAGAAGAACTGGGACATCGGCTCTCTCTGGTAACAAGCATAGTACCTGATAGGTAGTGTTTTAATCCTCACCCCCACTCTTCCACTCTCCTCACTCTAGAAGTCCCCAGTGTCTATTGCTGCCATCTTTATGTCCATGAGTACCCGTCGTTTAGCCCCCACTTATGAGAAGTCGCGGTCTTTGGTTTTGTGATCCTGTGTTAATTCACTTCAGATAATGACCTCCAGCTTCAACCATGCTGCTGCAAAGAACATGTTTCATTCTTTTTTATGCCTGTGTAGTATTCCATGGTGTATATATACCACATTTTCTTTATCCAGTCCACCACTGATGGGCATCTAGGTTGACTCCATGCCTTTGCTATTGTGAATAGTGCTGTAATGAATATACAAGTGCACGTGTCTTTATGCACATTTATGCAATTTATTTTCCATTGGGTGTATACCCAGAAAGGGATTGCTGGGTCAAATAGTAGTTCTGTTTTAGGTTCTTTGAGGAAATGCCACACTGTTTTCCACAATGGCTGAACTTATTTACAACCCTACCAACAGTGTATAAGCATTCCTTTTTCTCTGCAACGTCACCAACGTCTGTTTTAATAATGGCCATTCTGACTGGTGTGAGATGGTATCTCATTGTGGTTTTAATTTGCACTTCTTTAATAATTAGTGATGTTGAGCATTTTTTCATATATTTTTTGGACACATGGATGTCTTCTTTTAAGAAGTATCTTCTTGCCACATACCAAGTTCCATCCCTGGGGTTACCCAGGCCAAGCCTAAGGCCTTTCTATGTTGATAACCTTCAAATATTTGAGAACCACTCGTAGGACTCCCTCAAAATACTTATTCTGACTCAGATATTCCCAAACCTCTCAACCATTCTCCATGACTTATTTTATGGACATTTCTTCCTGGTCAGGCTCTACTGGATCCATCCCAACCTCTCTGCATCTCTCTTAAAACATGATGCTCAAAATCAAACACAACAGCAAATCTGGCTCAGCAAGTGTATGTATACTAAGGACTTTGATGTTTGTGTTCTATATTGTATTGACATGTCCAGAGATTTCATTGGTATTTTGGCAAATGTGTCTCACTATGTTTTCATAGTAGGTTCCGATCAACAAAAATTCCTAGATCATTTCTACACAAATCACTATTAAATCAGGTTTCCCTTCCTATACATTTACAGTTGGTTTTTAAAACATTGATCTTTCATAGTTCCTATTACACCAGCCTAATGAAAAAAAATTAATCTCAAATGTACTATCTAAAGCATTAAATATTCCTCCCAGCTTTGTGTCATGAGAAAATTTCAAACACATGCCTTTTATATATTCTTCCAAAGCAGTAGACAAAAATATGTATAAAAAAAAAAAAAAAAATTACAGGGCTAAATTCACCAAAACAATTTTTTAATTAAAATCATAAAGCTATGACAAACTACTAGAGATCACTCTACAGATTAATACTTTATTCAGGTATTATATAAAACATATTAAATATGTTTTCTTTAACCATTTGTAAAGCCATCTAACTATATTCTCTGAGGCTTAATTCTCTTATTCACAAAAACAACATGAGAAATTTGGGGTGACAGATATTACTGAAATTCAGAATCAACATGCCCAGAATAATACTTTTTAAATGAGGTTAGTTTGGGGTAACTCATTTTAGGTGTACCTACGCTGGCTCCTAGTCATCACTCCTAATTGTTTTTTAAAATCCAGTCATTTGTTAAATGACCATTTTTAACATTTGATATGGTTTGGCTGTGTCCCTACCAAATCTCTTCTTGAATTGTAGTTCCCATAATCCACACATGTCATAGGAGGGACCTGATGGGAGCTACCTGAATCATTAGGGTCATTACCCTGATGCTGCTATTCTCGTGATAGTGAGTGAGTTCTCATGAGATCTGATGGTTTTATAACAGGCTTTTCCCCCTTTTGCTCAGCACTTCTCCTTGCTGCCTCCATGTGAAGAAAGACATGTTTGCTTCCTCTTCCATCCCATCATCAAGCTTCCTTAGGCCTCCCTGGTCAGGCTGAAGTATGAATCAATTAAATCTATTTTCTTTATAAATTACTGAGTCTCAGGTATGTCCTTATTAGCAGCACAAAAACAGACTGATAAAACATTTGTCAGGAATCAAGGTGTCCAGTTTTGCGCTACAAGTTGTGGGAAAGTAAGAAGAGACGTCAAGAGGAGAATTTCCAACTTTGTTGGCCTGATGCGCAATATACTGAAAACTGTTCTGAAGGCTAATAATGACAGTATTGCAGTATGTTAACTACTCAAGAAGTTAACACACTGCAAAATAGGGTGTGGGTACTGTCAACCACATGTTTTCCTAAGAAAGGACTTGGAGAAAAGAATGCAGAAGATTAAAGCTAAGGAGAAAATACAGTTAACTAAAGGAGCTCGTATTCCTCATTCTGTTTTATATTTTCCTTCGAACTTAAAACTAAAATAGAGGTTAGCCTAGCATCTTGCCAAAAGGATATATACAATGTCTATAACCATCAAAACCACAGCAGGAATTATAAAGAAACTCTCCTACAAAACTGAGTTCCACATAGGTAAAGAGCCAATTCTGCGGGATATAAAGTAATAATGCCAAACAGAAACTATGACAATTTTCTCCTATTTGCTTAGCTTGACATATAGCAATGACTGTGTTTGTTCTACTCCTTCTGTTAAACTGAGTCACAGATGATGCAAACCCTCACAGTTTTGAATGGGAACAAAGAACAAGGGCTCCCCCTCCTGGAGAATAGCTGGTCTAGTCGTTTTTCTTTGTTTCTCAACCAAAAGCAAAACACCCTTCCATCTCCACTGCCCTGTTCTAGCATGTGAGTACTGTATGGGTTAGACCTTAAATCAGGCACATTAATATTTAGTCATTTCATAGGCTACGGGCTTACAGTCCAATCTGAGTACAATTCATTCCATAAGGCAGAGAAGATCTTCACCACTATCCTTCCAGAAGTACTTTCCCACCATGGATGACTAGAAACATCCCAATCCTCAGAAGAAAAGGAGGAGAATCCATGGAGCCTCTTTGGTGCTGATAAAAGCCAAACTAGAGGCCATGACATTAGCTTGTTAGTGAGGAGGAATGGTTAATGGATTCCATGATGAAGTAGGCTTGGGCTTACAGTCACAGGTGATGCCAAACAAGGGCAGGATCCCACATAGTGGGAAAAAGCCTCCCATAAATGACCGTGAGTAACCAC